TTCCCCATAAGTTTACTCACTTATCTGGTAATCTTGATAATTTGTTACATTAGCAACCCCAGTAAGCCTCTCACTATCTTTTGAGGACTTTCTCCCTAGGGTCATTGCCAGCACTCCCCTCTCACTGTCTGTAATGCCATTAGTTTCTCCTCTTGTTTGGATAATTTACCCTTGGGCTGAGGTTGGCTACTTTTCTTCTCCATTACCTGTGCTGTCCTGCCATCTCTCATGTTGTTATGCCAATAGTCTGACTTCAGGCCAGGGCTGCCTGTCTAGATGCACGCCTGACCATTACCCATTATTTTTAAGGTCATTTCTTAATCTAAGAGAGAATCTCTCTTCTCTTTATTTGCTTCTCTAGATGCTTATCTGGGACACTCAGGTTGGACAGACGGCTTCCCACTTTAAGACACTAAAACTGCAAATCTTGTGTCTTTGTTATCATAATTTCCTTAAGAAACATGAGCAAAGAATCACCTTCCTTTCTCTTGAAGATATGAAATGAAAGTCCTCACTAAAGTATCTTTCTTAGATCCATCCTCGCATGCTAAGTACGTTGACTTGCAATAAAATATCTCCATTAATTCTTCTCTGTAGCTGCTAACTGACTTTGATAGGTTTTCCCATTTTATCAGAGTGATAATAATGCCTATAAACAGCTAATGTTTCTCAGTTTGTGGAGATAAGTCTTCTTTTCATTATTTTCTTCGTTTAAAGATTTGTATGAGTTGCTGACACTGAGTGAAAGTGCATATATGTTACTGCAATTATTATTACTTTCCTGTGACACTAATCCTGTAGCTCTTGCTGTTGCAATCTTTTTTTCCCTAAAACTCAGACTTTGTTCTAAGAAGGATTGGTGATAATTATACTTGGAAATGTATACTTGGATGAAAAACTGCTACTGTTGCCTGTTGACCATCCTCACTCCCCTAAGACTGCTGCTAATTCCTCTTACCCCGTTTGTCTGATAAGAGAATGTAGCTCCGTGGATGGCCCTTCCATTCAGAGCAACGGCATGAGGCCTCCGCTTCAGACCAAGGATGGTAACAGTGTTGTAGCTCAGAGAGTCAGCCCCGCGGTAGCCATTGTGAACTATTTCTGTCCTCAGTTTTCCCTAGGAAGAAAAAGTCAGAGAGAAAATTTTAGGATTATACTAACTCTTTGGAAGTGGCTTACTGCATACTATTACTGTTGTAGACTCATTTGTATTAACAAATATTTAGAATATCTGCTAACTTAAGCCTAAGAAAATAAAGGAGAAGGAATAGCTGACACAATAATTTTCACATGAGAAAGCCTTTGCACATTGTTATAATCCAACAGACAGGAAATGTAATAGCACTTATAATTTTTATTTGGAATCTTCTTGGACATGTTTTTTCTACTTCTAATCAATGCAGATTTGTTTCTTATAGCCTTTTATAGGGTAGAGTGGCATCTGCAATGCCAAAATCTAGATACAGAGATTTAGTTAGTTGCCCTAAGGCAAATTTAATTAACATCTGTAACTAATGGCTTTAAAACATTAATGTCTTGCACAAACATAGGTTGCTAGATATTTGTCCCTATTTTAAGTATTGCATCTCCACAGCTCCTGGGAGAAATCCGTTACAAACATCTCCACATTAAAGACACTGAAGGAACATGGTATATTCAGAAAATTTTGTTAGATGTTTCATTTACTGTGTATCCTGTAGTTAAGGATGCACCAAGGGGACACACAAAGTCATTAAACAAATTCATTTATGCTGCCAGAGACAGTAATTCTCTACAAACAATGAAGAGGAATCACTGCATTTGTTATATGATCAAAGGTATTAAGGAAAGAAAGATGAATTACACTGCTCAGGAAATGATGAATTGCTATTCAATCATGACTTTTTAAAAATATGCCAAGGAGAAACCCACAAAGGAAACTTTTGCATAAATTAGCTCATGTTATTTCAGTGGTGCATGGTAGGGAGTGAAGTAGAAACTAGATCACATTTGCAACCTAAGATTGTGCTAAAATTGCTTACTTTAGGCATCCCCAGGATTTCTTCCTTTTCCACGTTTCTGAGCTGCAAAGTGATAGACTCTTGCTCTGCTCCTATGTACTTCACCTTTTTTTTGGATTGCTTTTTTCTCTGAAAACTGGATGAGTTTTAGGAGGAGGGACTTGCTCTCAGATTACTCAGTTGCTGGGTGGTTAGCAAATTGCTTCAGCAGCCCCCATTTCCTTGGGCAAGTGTGATATTCGGGAATACATGTAGGCAAAAAGCAAGCTTTCCCATTACCATTCCTTCATTGCTATCTGAATGCAGTAGGCATGGCCCAAGTATTCCCAGCTTGTCTGCTGCTGCTGGGGCTGGAGGCAGAGATTGGAGTCTCCCTGATCATTCGTGAAGTATAGTTGATTTTATACATCAGGCTCACGTATTTTTCTAGACCAGGGATCTTGATGTATGGCTGCCTGACTTAGATCTCTCAATGGTTTTGTGTGCCGAAATGAAAGCGTCAAAACGATGTACAATACCTACTGCAGTGAGACAGTGTCTGAGAGTAGGCAGATTGAATTGTTCTCTTAAGTGCCTACACTAGTCTCAAATTCTTCTCTGTGCTTCCTGTTTTTAAAATTAAAATATAAATGAAAGGGTCTAACCCTGTAGTTGTCACCCACGCAAAACTCTATACCGGGTTCTGAGTAAATGCTGCAGTATCAGACCTTATAGCTATCAGTGAATCTCTTAGGGACAAAAATCTGTGTATTCTCCTAAAATCTGGTGAAAGTAAACCATTCATGCCTGATTTTTTAAGATTATAAAAATGCACAATACACCCTCATGCACAAACCCTCATACTATTTCTCATTCTATTTCTCATAGTTCTTTGTTTTTTGAGATTTTTTTCTTTATAAACACATAATAAATATTTTAGATTAGAATGCAGATTGGAATGCAGATAAGGACTTCAGTCATGGATTTCTAGGCAGAAATCAAATATGAGCAATAAGAACTGGAAGTGTCAGTGAATCGGCAATCTAATTTGTACAGATTAGAATTTAATATAAAACTAGATATTGTTTATTTGTAGTCTGTGCATAGCAATAGTAGTCTGCAAGCAGACTACAGAAATATGAAATGATTTTTCTTCCTTTCTTCCCTTCTGTAGCTGAAGTATCATTTTTTGAAGAAGTTTTTTCTCAGTAAATCAAGAGGAAAAAAAAAAAAAGAAATTTAAACACACAGCATTACTTCCAGGAAAATATCCCTCCAGTATATAAAAGTACATAATAACAGCCATCAGCTTACTATGACTTGCTGTCAATCCTAAACACATACATTCTAAGGGTAATATCACAGTAGGGATTAACATGATTTTACTCTTCAGAAGATTTTCTATAGGCTACTTTGGGACTTTTAGGAATACATAATATGAAAACCATGCCACAGTATTCAGTTATATCCTGAATATTTCTCACTAGATACTGGAAGTGTAGGTGAAATATGACCTGTATGGATTGCTGCAGTAGGTCAGGTATTTTTTCCACCAATTCACTCAACTTACTATCATATACTAGGTAAGCTTATATTAGATTTATTTTTTAGTATTTTTCTCAATTGAGTTTCTGTGTTCAGCTTTCTCAGGAGATATCTGCAAGGCGTGAGCTCGGGGTGAAAGACATTAGTGCACGGTCTGGGCTAATTTATTTCTGTGCTGCTTGTGGCATCTGACGAGCGTTGCAGCAGCTTGCTGAATCACTCTCTGGGATACCAGCCACGGAGCAACCTCAGTGAGGAAATACAAGCTAAAGGTAATTCACAGGACTGCTAAGTACAAGCTTCATGTGACAAAGTTAGAAAGTTGCTGGGATACCTTGAAGACAGGAACGCAGTCCTCTCCCACCCTTCAGACTAAAAGCGTTCACAGGACGAAGACGAGAAGGAAGCCCTTCATTCCCAGAAGGAGAAACTCGAGAAAATAGGACCCCTCAGGACTCAGAGTCATTTGGCACCTGAACCATTACTGAGGTACCACTGTGATACTCAATTAAGCGAATGCAAAACTGCAGCATCATAGTTTGGTCATTTTGTAGCAGTCTGTAGATGACAACATTATGTAGTATACCAGTTTTAAGGACTGACTGCTGTGCTATAAGAAAAAAAGCTTTTCAGATAGAAAGCTAGATATCAGTACCTTAAAGTAACTTTACTACAATACAGTATGTGCTTTGTGTGTTGCTACTTACCTTTTTGAATGTGTATTTAGCCAAGAAGTAGATTCCATTTTCAATAGTATCTGTCAAAACACAGAGCAAGGTTGATTGATATTAAAACAGGCAGCAAAACCCAGAAGCAGTTCACATAAATTGTAGCAAGCAGCTAATATCAGACTAAAATGACCTGTGGGTTACTTAATAAGTTCCTTTACTCTTCAAATAATCTCAGGGGAATAGAAAGCCAATCACTTCCCTTTCTGGCTGCCCAGCTGAGCCCAGTGTCACACCTTTCCCTTACGGCAGCGATGACTTCAAGAGCACTGCGATCATCTCTGTAACATCCAGCTTAAGGGCATTTCTCCAGCTATTGCTAGCAGAAGCCAATGCTCTGCAGCAAAGTTGGTCTGAAGGGAATCCTGTCCTTACCCTGCTTTATAGCAGGGGAACCAAACTTACCAATCGAATCGCCATCATCCCAGAAGAGCGACCCAGAAGCTTCTCCATGGTCATCCAGGGCAATAGTGAGCCCAAATGGGTTCAGACGGCTGTTGACAAAAGAGGTTTAAGGTCACAAAAAAGGACAGAAGAATGCCAGCCGTGCTCACCAATTTATTGGCTCTTGAATCTATTAGAAAAAATCTACCTTGCCTCAGTCCACTTTCATGCAAAATTTCTCTCTCAAGTGTTTGTAGGGACAAGTTTCCCCTTCTTTGGTGACCCTACCTATGATTTACCACACAGTCTGGGAGACAGCTGCCCACTAAACCCATCTGTATGGTGACTGACATGGAGAATTAAGGTACCTCCTAGTTGTTGTTGTGGCCGGTGCCTGTCTTGGCAGGATGTAGCCTCCGCGCAGGAACAGGGGGATCTTGCTCAATGGAGCATCGACAGTGGCGTAGTTCTTGAGCCAGGATGCTGGCACTCTATCGCCCTACCAGAAAAATCAATGTAGATTAAAAAAACGGCAAATCCGGGCACTACAAATTGTCACCGTGAATGACTGAAAGAGAGACCAAGGGGCATATCTTCATCTCAGTCACACCAGTGAAAAGGCAAAGAAAAAAGTGGTTTTCAGGAGTGTTATTCCAATCCCTTTTTAAAATGCAGGCAGATCTAGCCCCTGCAGTTATGCATATGCATGAAGCTCAAACTATCATGAATGAAAGACAGCAAATCATCTTGAAAATGAGATCATTATTCAGTAGGCTGTGAAAAAAACTCATCAAGACACTAAGCAAAAAGCAAGAGAAACTTTTTCTTCCTCTTTTTATGCATATGGAAACTGTCACATTTCAGCTTAAGGTAAGTGATTCAGAATCATTCGGGAATGAAAACTGTAGATTTTCTTTTCATTAAAGGATAACTCTTCCTCTTTTAAAAAGGTATTAACACATGCAATGAGTGAAAATCTTATCTAGGTAGAGAACTAGCATAAATTCTACACATAACTCATATTTGGCTTAACCCCTCATAACCAGGTGGAGGTAAGACTTTACCTACTTTGTAGGTAGCAGAAAGGCTTTGTCTTCACCCAAAAAGGGACACGGGGCTTCCCTCACCTGCATCCAGCCCAGCAGTGCAGGGAGCTGAGGAGCAACCACGACAAGGGGAGGGAAAGGAGGTGGATCCTCTGACTGATCCTCTCGGGATCATCCAAGCTTCTTCTGTTCAAGCTAACATTGCTTTCACCCTACAGATTTCAGCAGAGTATAGTCAGGTCAGAACTGAGCACTCTTGGTAACCCAGCACTGGGGATGACATTTGAAAGATCAGAATTCACCGGCCCTCAGCCTAAAAAGGCTGGCATTTTTTTTTTCACTGAGCAGACTGCTCTGCATCTCACGGAGCCTTTTCTTGGAAGAAGTCTCATCTGTCTCTGTAAAACTGCCTTCCATAGTCGCTCTGTCACAAATGATGCATATGCAAAACTATGAGGACAAACTCTTTGCAGTACCTCATCAGGAGGACGTACCAGCTTTCTGCCTCAGCTTTCATACAGGGCAGGGCATCATTACGGTAACTTAAGCATGCAAGAGGGCAAAAAAAAAGAAAGTAAGCTTGTCCATTTCCTGATTTTCTAGGCTGCTCTTGGAAATTCAGCACACTGTCTTAGAGCTCTACATACCAAAAATAGAAAATAAAGTGCTACTGAAAGCTGGGTAATTTACTCTCTCAGCTAGCCGAGTGTACACTTTTTCTGCTCTAGATTTCTTAAACACAGATGCTGAAGTGAAAATAATGCTGAACATGGCTCAAAGTTATTTTGCTGGAATTGTCACATTTAAGATTATGTAAAAACGTGAGAAACTGTGGATTTTTATAATACATACTGTGTAGTAGTCAAACCATGGTGCTTCAGGGAAATACACCTCCACAGATCTTGCTCCCTGTAATTGTTATAAAATGATTAAAGTCTGCTTTCCTTTTGTGTTTCTGATATTACATTAGCTTTATTATATTTGTGCATGGATATATGTATGTTCAATATTCTAACAACATCAAATCTTGGATATTAAGGCTGAGATATTATCATAGCAATGCACTATTGCTGCCTAATCTATAATGCTAAATAGATGACCATATCATATTTGTGTGTTTTTTTTTTTTTTAATTAAACTGCACTTCCATGCAGTTAAATGAGTCGATGTTAGAGGACCATTTCAGTCTACTGCATAACTCTGAGTCTTGCAAATGTAACTGTCTTAGGTGCCTCTCTCTAACATCTGAGCAACTGCACTGATGACAACAGCAGCTCTTGCAAGGCAGGACTTTACATGAGGCAACAGAGTGGGCTGAAAGAGCAGAAGGAGACACTCCGTCTCAGCTCCCCTTGCACGGTTCTCATTGCAGAGATAGGAAGAGAATAACGTCTGGTGGGGAGCGTACAAAGATGTTTGCTTTCTTTGCAACAATGCAAAGCGTTATTCAAAACACATACTTGCATGATTACTATATTTTGGTTTACAGCATGCAGTTTATCATGTGGTTGCAGAGATAAAGTCACACTAAAGGCACTCTGAATTAATTACTGTGGAAAAGTTGGAATCTAAATATATTTACATTTTTTGTCCCAATAAGTTGCTATGTTTCCTTTTTTTTTTTTTTCTCATAAGGAGTTGCTTATTCTCACATACAGATTCATTTAGACTCCTGACATAGATGTTTGTTCCTTTGCAGAGTTTTGGTTTACCCCCAGAGAAAAGATGGGGTTTGAAAACAAGACGTAGAGGAGACAAGCCTGGCATTTTCCCACCTTTCCCTCTCCGGCAGAGAACCATGGCTTTTCTTAGGCAAAGAGATTCCCAGAGGCCTTTAAAGCAAAATGTGATTTCCTATTCATAATATTAAACTGTGTTAAGACCATTTCAACAAGTTGAATGACTTTAAATCAATTAAGGGAACATTTAAATGACCAAGGTAATGGCAGTTTCTTGCAGATTACTTTGTAAATAACAATCAGGTAAAACATTATGTCTGAGCATACTGGCCCGTTATTTTCATAGAAACATCCAAAATCATGACATTATTGTGAAGATACATACATGCAGCTTTCAAGACTGCATTGTCTACAAAACAGGCCACATATTTCATACAGATATTTGAACACACAGGTCATGAAATATTTATATTCAATCCATGTATTTTTCTGATGACTGGGGAAATCTGTAGAAATCTGACAATTGGTGGTCAGTGGCTGCACGCTGGATCTAAGGCTAACTTTCCATTTGACATTTTAGGGGTTTTTAAAGTATAATCTTAACCTATAAAAGGACTAAGAAACAGCTGATTCATCAACGCATGTGAAACTCCAGTTCACAGAATCCCAGAATGGTTGAGGTTGGAAGGGACCTCTAGAGATCATCTAGTCCAACCCCCCTGCTCCAGCAGGGACATCCAGAGCACGTGGCACAGGGTGGCATCCAGGCGGGTTTGGAAGATCTCCAGAGAAGGAGACTCCACAGCCTCTCTGGGCAGCCTGTTCCAGAGCTCTGTCACCCTCACAGGAAAGAAGTTCTTCCTCACATGGAGATGGAACTGCCTGTGTTTCAACTTGTATCCATTACCCCTTGTCCTGTCACTGGCCACCGTGGAGAAGAGTCTGGCCTCATCCTCCCTACAATCACCCCTCAGGTACTTGAACATGTTGATCAAATCTCCTCTCAGTCTTCTCTTCTAATTAAAATGCAGGATCTGCTAAACTGAAAGAGCGTCTTGTCCTGCCTTCTGCAGTGTGCAGCACTAGATGTGTCTGGAAAGGTGGAACAGCAATACCCACATCTGCCCTGTCTAATTCTCATCAGATGCTTAACAATTAACAAAAAATACGGCAGCTATTCTGGCAGCACGTTGATGGCCAACAGCACCAGCCTATATCACCCGCAGGTGTTCCCAGCATCGTAAGGAACATCCAGCCTGTTTAAATCCATTAAGTGCTGGAAGAAGCGGGGAAAAACCATGCCCTTGTTTTCATCCTCCCACTTCAAAGCACTTGGCATCTCCATACTTTTGGTACAACTGAGGCTTTTCTTGACATCTGTCATACAGCTTCGATGGTGGTGGGAAGAGATAGGCAAATATCATCACACACACCCTGAATGTCATCCCTGAATGTTAAACCTGAGCACAGTTCATTTCTTTTCTTCTATCAGGATAACATTTTTTAATTACAGTACTTGCCTCTTGAAGAACTGGAGCAATCATAAAAGCAGATCCCCAAAGGAAGGCTGTATCTATGTCATGAGTCTGCTGATCAGAGGTAAATCTAGCATTGAAAGAGAGAAAAGCAATATTAATTCATATTTTTATAAAACCTAGAGAATATTTTGATATTACTCACTGCTACAAGAAATCTGCTTCTTCAATATATCCTCCAATAAAGCCAAATATTTTGCCTGGAATGTTCAAAGCTGGATAGAGATCAAGAAATTAAATACGGTGACAACTGTATACTGTAGCTCATGAAATGCTGTAGCTGGCTTCTTTGCAAAATAACTATGGTGGGGACAACAGGTAACTAAATTGCTGTCCAGCAGTTGGAGACCTCAGCCAGGGTATAGAAAAACACGCCAGGAAAGGCTGGCATGGGGCTGGTGAGAGGGTACGTGGGTCACATTAGGGGAGCAGGCTTCCAGCTTCTTGCCCCATCTGCAGATTCACATTCAAAATCCTTTGCAGGGCAAGCACAGAGGAATCCTCCTAGGTGTTGTACTTTGTAGCTGCCCATCCTAAATGGCATCATAAGCTTTCAGCCCATTTTATTCAGCACATTAATATCATTTTGGATGCTGATCATGTCCTCCAGAGTGTTTACAAGCCCTTTTGCCTGGGGTCATCTGCCAGCTTAGGAAGTGCTTTCTGTCCCATTATGCGTCACTTAACAAAAATATTCAACACCATTAGGGGAAAAAGGATGAATCCTCCCTTCTCTCAGGAACTTCCATTCTTCTGGCATAAAATCCTTGAGAATTTAAATGGGCTTTCAATCATTTGTGATTCTATATCCTAGCAAATTCATCTGAATCACGATTTCCTAGGCGGCTTATTAGCTTCATTTTCTCAAGCCCTCCTAAAGCTAACATATATTATCCCTCCCTTCTTTCCTCCTGCTCCTCTACTCTCTTTACCACCCAATAGCTCCATGCCCTTGTCAAAGAAGGAAATTGGGCTTGTTTTTGACAATTTCTCACTGTCTGCTTTGTATTATTTATTATTCTCTAAGGAGATGCAAATTATTTGTTTAATGATTTATTCTCAGTGTGTATTTAAATGAGGCTGCTCTGTACTTTGCCGGTGCCCCTCTTTGCAGATGGGTTTCTGTTGCATTTTGGAGGTGGCAGAGCCCCTCCCTGGCAGCCCTGTGGCTTGTTCAGTGCCACAGCTTTCCTGTACCCAGACTGAGTAAGCCCAGGCTTACAGAAATTACACCAAATATGCAAAAAGTAAAATATGACAGTTAAGAACAACATCAAAAAGACATGTTCTGTATTCTGATTTCTAAAATAATGAAAGTTTAGGGAAATAGATGGAAGTCCAAATAAATGTTCTTGAAGGGATGCTCTGCCTGAAAGAAATCTTGATAGAGCTTCCTTTCCCCAAAATATTTTAAGTGGGTTTTCTTGTTTGCTAAAATACCTGGTCTTAAAGTTTTTGAAATATAATACATGAAGTTTTCTTGCCATTTCAACAAATTTTCAGTATTTTTAATTTAACTGTAATGAAATTACAAGGTTGTTACAATTTACGAGGTCATGGGAGATGTGGAGAGAACAAGCTGATCAAGAAATGATGAGAAAAGAAAAGTCGAGCATCTCATTTGCACCTGGAAACAAGCAGTTAGCTGTCTAATTAAACACTGTTTTCTCTGGTAATTATAGCAACCAGGAGTACAGATTCAGCACACAAATGAACTTCCCCATTTTGAGAATGTAAGTCATTAAGCTCATCATATCTGTGATCTACAAAAGATGCTATATTTTATCTAAATGCTTTCTGTGCTACGCCTCTCTTCTCTTTGCTTGAGGTGATGGATTGCCACCTCAAGCGCATATTGGATAGAGTTTCACTCAGTCAATGCCTCAGCATGAGACACCCAAAACACATCAAGGAATCTGCTGGTATGCAGTTTTTGTGTGTTATTTGAAACTTGAAATCAAATGAAAAATTTGAAATAAAATGAAAGATTTGAAATAACCACATGAAATAGCTGTTGCCTGGGGCTTCCCTGTCTATATAGGAAAAGTTTTCACAGTGACATTTGTGAAGGAACAAGAGCTCTTCCTGAAAACCCATTGCAGTATTTTAGTTCTCTTTCTACTCCTTATGAGAAAGAGAAAAACTTGATGTAAATTTTTATCATCCGTATCCTTCAAACTGTTTCCCTTCTCTCATATCCACATTTCTATTTCTACTAGGATCTAGGTCACTTTCTTTAGTGGAGCTAATCCACTAGAGAAATCGCTATTGCTTAGAAATTGTATAAAACATTTATTAAGCAATAATAGCAACCAGAATTAAGCAATAACAGCAAGAAATATTTTGAAGCAATTTTAAGATTTAAGCAATTTAGCCACGGCAACATAAGCAAGTGACGTGACCCACTAGGATGGCATCTGGCTAATAAAATAGTTGGTGCTGATCTCCTGATGTCTACACTAAAATGCATGCATTTTAGATATTTTATTGCTAATAATTCTAATCTGGTCCCACAGACCAAACTCCCATTAATGGCTGGAGAGCGCCTTGTGCCTGACTTTGCCCTGGCAAAAGTTCAGCTACTGCATCTGAGACTGCTGTATGATCCAAATGAAAGCTTTGCAAAGTGGAGAAGATCAGGAAATTTGCTAATGTAGCTGTGCCTAAATAGACTACAAATGAACCATACCGGGCATGGAGAGAAACATAGCCTTGCTATCACTGAAGTCATTCTGTATTAGCAGAGATTAGCTAGCATTAACGCAAAAATGAACTCAATCATTTCAGATATTAACACGAATCTCATTAAGCAAAAATGCTGCTAAAATAAATACTTTAAATGGCATAAAATCCCTTGTAAGAAATGAGCACCTATGAAGCTTCCCCTAAATGTTACACAGTTAAATAAGGTAATGGAATTGAAGGGGAATTTTAAAATTAATCAGCTAGCTATTACACTGAGTAGGCAAAATAGATTTTATGCATAGCCAATCCATATTACAGTGTTCTGCACTTTAGTTTAATCTCAGTTTAATTCGTAAAAAATGCCTTACCCTTTAAACAAAACGTTCTTAATCCAAAAGGGGAAAAGAACATTAAATAGTCAGAAGTCCGGGACACAGCCCATATCAATGAGACTAAATTGGGTTGGAGCTTTTGGGCAGTAGCCTTTTATATCTATTATTTGCACTCTTTTTGCTCAAGTCTTTGCATAAAGCCTACAGAAATAGAAGTTTTAGCAAAAACAGGTAAAATGTTATTTAAAAGATGCTGGGAGAGAAACCAATCTTCTCTTTAATTCTTGCTTCTTCCAAAAAGAAAAAATAGTCTGTTCCAGAAATCTGAGGGTCATATTTTATAAGCTTATTTTTTTCAATCTGTATTTATTAATTTTATTTTTGCACCTGCTTCTACACTCAGACAACTCAATCTCTGTTTTCTCTATGCAATTTATGGACACAGATGTAGGTTTCATAGACAGCATGCAGATGCAAGTGCTAAATTGGAAAATGCAAATGCTGTGGATGATTGGAAAATGGAGCCTGCTCTGTGTGAGCCCTTCTTGGTATTCAGCACCAGAATACAGATTTCATAAGATTTAATTCCAATACAGAAAACACATATATATATGGCTCCTAATTTTAAAATAAATAAGGACTGCATATTTGCTTAAGAGAAGAGATTTTCAGAAATCTTATTACTTAGATCTTTTTCTCATAAAAAACAAAGTTAGTCTATATTTTATTGAAAAGACATCGTATATATTCAAAGGATATTCTGCATTGTATATAAATAATTTGATTAGATCTCACAGTAAAATTGTTCATGTTAAGATAGAGTATGCATAATATTACTAATACCAAATATCAGCTAGTTCATACACAGAGCCTGAAATGCTTTTGTGAGTAAAATATGACAAGAAAGAAAGAGACTCATAACTTACTCGTGCATCAGTGACCGTGCCACCGTGTTCCCATGAACATGAGACTCGTAGAATAAGGTGTACAAATACGGCAGCAGCGAGTATCTGATCCGGAGTGTGTCTCGAGATATCTCAGCAAACTCTGCTCCAAACACTGCTGGGTCTTGCTCCTGTTCATGGAAAGCTTTGATTTATATCAAGCATGATAAATATGCACTTCAAATTCAACAAATAATCTGGAAGTGACCTAAGGAAAGCTGCATAATCCTACAAAGTTGAATGATTATCCTGACATAATCTTACAAAGGTGGATGTTTGTATAAGAAAAAATATTACGACTTTCAGCTTGCAAATTGGCAAGATCCATGTCTGCTGTCATCACACTAATATTTGTATGAACCTTTTCAACCACCCCCAACTTCCCCTAACATTGTCACAATGAGGGTGCGGGGCATTGCCACTTGCATGCAGGCACAGACACTCCGTGTGTGGAAATCATTTTGTCTTTGAAGTGCCCAAGAAGGTGAAACACAAGAAAAAGAGAAGACTGATATTTCGCAAAACAAAGAGCAAAGTCTAATATTACTGGTCAGGAAGATAAAAGCCAATCTATTATAAAAGTAATGGTAAATTCATGGTTCCACTGAAGTCAGTTGGTTTGACTGAAGAGGCTGCAAGTCATGGGGAAAACATTTTGTGGGGATTAAGAAACCAGAATTCAACTTCTCATCTACATCCAGGCACTCTGGGACATGGCTGAGTACAAAGCATCAAGCAGGAGACACCAAAGCTCTGCAGCCCTTGATTTAATAATCAGACTGCTTATTGGGTCATTCTGATCTAATTTTAGGACAAATACAGCTCTCCCTTACAACAGGACATGGAGACCACAGCCTGGGGCTGGCTGATGCAAAAGTCCTATGTGTTCTTCAATCCCTCCTATCCAATCTTGAGGTTGAGTCAGCTACCAAGTGACACAGATCCCTTCTACCTTCAGAAAATAAATAAATAAATAAATGCTTCCATAGTACTCACTTTTCTCATTAAAGTTGAAGGATATGTGAGGAATTCCAAGGATAATGAAACATAAAAGTAACAGAAGTAACAACACTTTCTACATTATCTAGTGTTTTTTGGACAAGAAAAGTATTAATTAAACCATTCAGGACCCAGCTGGATTAGGCAAAGTGGATATTTAAGATTTTATTTTAACATCAAACTTAATATTAATTAAATTCAATATTTAGTTTAAATTTCCCTCTTATTGCTTTTACATCAGAATTATTCAGTGATAAGTTTTGCTGCTGATTTTCAGCTTGGAAGCATCCATGTATTACTTCAAAAATTGTACTATCTTTTTATCCCTTTGATTTTAACATTGTACAAATGCTACTAAGTTCAGAAAAAAAATGGCCAGTCTTCTTAAGGGAGTCAGACAAAACACTTTGTTCATTTCTTTCAGTGAATACAATGTTTTAAATGGATTTAAGAGTAACCCAAACATATCTTCTTAACCCAAACATATCTTCTACTACCTCTGTCATTCACTCATGCTGAATTGTAGCTCCCTTCAAGAAGACCAACTGCTCTTTATCTGCTTAGTTATGCTTATTAAATTGTGCATAGGTGATTAATATCCACTCACTTGGTCAGGTCCTATTTGTATGCCCAAAGGGCCAAGCAAACCTACATAAATAAGACATCTCTAATTTTAGTGAACACAGTCAAATGCAAAATATTTATCAATGACAGCAGCTAATGCCTCACAGATATGTCTTCTGCAAAAAAGAAATACCAGCATATTTCAGGTTTTATTTCAGACTACAGGATAAATTCTGACCCTCTTAATGCCAATGCTATAGCTTGTAGTTCAAACATTTGCCCAGTTTCTGAATTTACATTCTAATTTCATGCAGAGAAAAAAGTCTTCTGGGGTAGTGTAAATGTTGCCATATCTCTGATAACCCGACCTCAAAGAAAAGTGAAAGTTAGCTAATGAACTGAGCATTGCACAGGTGAGTTTGCAAAAGAAAAAAAAGTTATTGAACCACCACCAGCAGAACCATTTCTGCGTGACTGCAGCCAAACACTGCACTCACGAAGGCTGAAAGACCTTCAGATTTCATTGTTAGAAACAATGGGACATTTTTCTCTGTCTGAGATGAATCTCAGAATTACTTCATGGTGAGCTGAAGTCAAGGCATAGATCTGAATGGAGACCACATGTTTTTCATCCATCTCCTGGGATCAGAAGCTTTTTTAAGTTTTTGCTTCTCCTTGGCTGGTGCTACTGCCACCTGTCCTTGGCATTCTCAGAGTCTTGTCTCAGGTTTCTAACTGGCATGTTTGCCTGAAACCTGCTTTTAAATAGCAAAGATGGTGTATAATGCTATCTCTCCTCCTGGTTGTAACACATATTAAAGCTACAGAAGTAATGAAACAAAAATTGAAGTTAGGAAGGGAATAAGAAAGTGGCATGATTCTTATCAACAGCCTTGACAGACCATTTCCTGTCATTCAAAATACACAGCACACATTTCTACATGGCTTTCAGATGTTAGAAACTATGTATTTTTCAGAGTTCCTATTCAATCTTTACATTATGGATGGTGAAAGTTAGACCTTGCTGTGAAATTCCTGCTTAAAACACTCCCTCTTAAAGCATTCCTTTTCACCCACTCAAGCTCACCTGAGAAAGCCAAGCTGGTTTCTAAGAGTGTAACACAAATCACTATCATCAATACTGTAACCATAGGCTACAGCTTTGTGTAACTGTATTTACTTACACTGTTTTTCTCTGCATTGTGGTTTCTGGAAAATGGATAGAAAGAGCCAAGTTGCATCCAGCGCAAGCAGAGTTCATAGGTAGTGTTATAGTTAAACCCACAGATATCAGCACCAATCTGAAGAAAAAATACCATTGGATAAGTATGCTTGTCACTAAGACCCAGACATGAGAAATTGCAGAGGCTTATTAATAAAATCACTTTAGGAAAGAGATTCTTATTGCTGACAACTTTATAAGAATGCTCTGTAATGTAATGATAGGAATTTTGCAGGGACTTATATTTCACTAGCTTATTGGGCTTTAGAATCACTGTGAAAGCTCTGATTGTATTTGAACAATTTTACCGTTTCTCTAGCCCAGATTGCAAAACTAGAAATACAGAGAGGGACCTCCATGACAAAACATATTAAAGACATCTGCTTTGGGTAACAAACACTTATTTAATCTGAATCTAACACTGCTATTTTTGTTTCTGTTTAGCTAGCTGTGATTGATGGCATTTAGCTTTTTTTTCAAATCTGCAGTTCCTAGTGCTATGTAGAGCTGTGACCACTGACTGTCTCAAACTGCCTATTTCAGAATACATACGAGTTAATTTGAAGCAATATTGCGTATTGGCCAGCAATTGCCCGAAGGGCTTTAGACTTACAAAGGGAATCCCAAAGAGGTTAAATTCCAGAATTCCAATGATTGACTGGTGCAGGTCTTCCCACTCTGAAAAGTTGTCACCGAGCCAGTGACCCCCGTGTTTCCCACTTCCAACGAACGTAGATCGACTTAAGACAAACGCTCGCTTTCCAGTAGCTTTCTGGGTAACACTGGGGGAAAAAAAATAGTAACAAGACCATTAAAGAGAGGGACCAGTAACCCAAGAAAGGCCACATCATAAGCTTGAGACTTCAGACACAATTTTCCTGATGTTATTTTTGCAACAATTATTGCTGTCATCCATAGTCACCCTGAGCTATGTAGAAACAGAACAAGACTGCAAGTAATGGAAATTTTTATTCTCAAACATAGAGTGAGTAAGAGTTTTTATGTAAAAAATCCTAAAATCTGCTGATTTATTAAAAAGTGTGTTTCAGGTATTTTTAGGCTTTCTAAAAACTAATTTGCACTTAATTTATTCCTTTCTGTATTAGCACATTTAATTTAGTGTTCTCCTGTTTCCTAAAAACAAGTACAACATATAATTCTTGTCAGCATGGGATATTTTTGGAGCTATATATAGGGAAATAAAGTCTTAATATCTGGTAATTAAAGTTTAAAAAGTTAAAAATGAAGTTAAATAAGAGGTGTCAAATCAATTTAGAATGCAAAAACATTATTCAAAACGTCACCCATCCTTTTAGGATTTCTCTGATCTTCTGTCATCTTTTGGTATATGAAGTTTCTTTTCAGACTTGGTGGTGTAATGAATTTTTCTTTGCATTTTGAAAATAATGTAACACTGCCAATAAATAGAAGAAACAGAATATGTCTTACTGACAAATTTATTACAGATTTTCTCAACATAGGATGATCTTCATATAAGTTTACATATTACAATGCTCTATTTAAGTATCCAAGATTCAGCTAAAACATTGCCTGTCAGGCAATTCAGGATCTGAATATCAACCAGAAAACATCAGGAGCTCCAATTCTACTCCGCTTCAGTAAGATCTGAGCAGCCAAACCATTTAGGTTCTCTACGAAATCCTAGCCTGAAATATTAATCACATTTTTCATCACCCACCTCCTGTCTCTCAGCCTTACCAAGAAGAGTTCAAGACCTCTTTCCTCCATATTCTCAATAATCAATACTTAGGGTTAGCTCTGTAACAGCATAGAGCCTTTAAAACACTTCAACATTTGTCTGCAAGGCAAAGAAACCCACCTGCTTTCATATAGGCTGACAGTAAGCTCATTGCCCACATCTGGCCAGAGGTCCACTTCCCAAAATGCAGCGAAACCTGTGTTTGGTTGTGTGTTGTAGGAGACCATGTGGCCCTATAAGGACCATGTGAGGTCCCTTTTCCTTCTAGAAATGGTGTTTGGGAGCACTGTGGGGACGGAAATGTCTTATCGTTGAACCTTTTCCTCAGTGTCCTGTGTGAGTCCTCTCCTCTGGCCAGGCAGCACGAACATTTGACTCCATTTGCAAATGCAGGTGCTCACAAGGGCAACATTGGAAAACTATGATCCAGAGCTGCTAAAACAATTTGTAGCAAAAAATATATATTGAATAACTTTTAGTCTATTGTGTATCATTGCTGATGGTATTTTCAAATCTATTTGTTGATTGAAATTATTCGCAGAATCTCACATGTGCATAGTTCTTGGCCTTATGCTCTGCACAAGCTGATTGTTGCTGGTTTCCTGTAGCCCAGTCCTCACCATTTGACTGCATACATGGGTCAGATGACACATTTTCTATTCCCTGGCTGCATTAGCATAATTCTTCAAATTGTTAAATTGCCTTTTCTGCGATTATGAACTTGTCATTCATTTTCAGCCAATATCCTGCAATTGATGCTGGTTCACTAAATATTCCTGCCAATAATTTCATTTACTGTATTATTTGCAAAGATCAAATGCAGAAAGGGTATACAAACAACCTTGCAAAGAAACGTGTTTGAGAAAACTAAATGAACACACATGAAAAAAATCTCCACGGAAACGTCCCCACAAGTCAGTGCCCCAGGAGTGGATAGGAAAGATCAACTGCCTTGGCGGGAGCTGTTGAACCTGAAAAGAGCCAGTCCATGTATCCTGAAGACCAGGGCCAATTGTCACCTTGCCCTCCAAGTGCGACCTTGGGATTATTGCACTGGTGCTGTGGCATTGGAAAACTCACCTTTAGCTCTTGGCTTAGGCCCTAGCCAGGCTAGTGGCCAGAGAGTTTTGGAGGTGAGAGACCTTTCGGCTCCTGCTCTTGAAAGCCAGGCTGCACTCCAGCCAGATGTTCAAGCACTGGCAAACTGCTCTGTACCCAAGTTTTCCTTGCTCCAGCCTTAGCATATAGAATGCAAGTGTATCAACACCTTAAGTAGGTGCACGTGGCCTCATCCTCTGGGTACTAGCATGCTGCAGCAAGCAGAAGGCAGTGTGACATGCTAGAATTAGCTAGCACAAGGACCCCTGCTTTGGCGCTTTCATCGAGCTATTAAACATATCCATGTTTTGGCTCAGGCTATGCTGGAAAAGGCATGATTTACCCATCGGATTTAATCAAGTTGCCAGACTGGCTTCACAGCAGCAGAGCCTGTTCAAGCAGGCTAGTTTGGAGGGCTCCCTGGCTGCAAAATGACAGTTTTACAGTAACCGGCAGCAAGGGCACCTGGTCCCCCAGGCCCGGCAGAGCCCCAGGCCAAAACGCAGTGTGGTGTCTGCCAACAACCTGCAGCAGTTCTGGAGCATCCGTGGGGAGTAGGGCGGTTCCAGTCCTTCACCTCCAGGAATACAGACTCCCTGGCTTGGACCATGATAACAAAGTCACAGAGGAATGCCCCTGATGGCACGAGGAATAGCTGTGCCCCACGTACATGTGAGCAGCCCCAACAAAAGGCACCAAACACCTTGCTGTGGTCCTACATAAGCCACCGTGGAAGAATTAGGTGCTGTAAGGGCACCTTGATTTTAGCCAAGTAGCATAAATTGAGAAGAAATCTGTTTCTTCTGCCACAGTTCTATTTTCTTGAAGTTATTCTACTAAACAACACAGAAAAAATGAAGTATGTGGTTGTTCCATATTTGATGTTATTCCTGATATCCCATATAATGTCAGCTGCTTTAAAATACATTTCAATAACCTGAAATCTGCTTAGAAATGCTTAGAAATCTTACTGGAAAGTCGGTGCGGTCTGTGACCAGCCAAAGAGAGAGTGTGTGTTATACTGGTCTCCCAGGTACGTCTTGGAATCAGGACACAAGGTCTTCTCAGCCAGGGCACGATCAGAAATGCCTGAGAACAATATGGAACATTGCAAAATTATATACGTTGCAGTACAAATCTCTTCCTATTTCTACTAAGTGAGGAGGGAAATCATCAAAAGGTTTCTAAAGAGGAGAAGCTGGAGAACGACAGTATATATACTGATTACAGGCTGATAAGTAGCAACAAATGCCCTCTCTCAGACAAGCACATATTTGCTCAGGAGAGTGAGAGAACAGAGTAAATAATACTAAAGAATTTCAATTTTTTTTTGCCCAATAAACCAGAATATCTGTACTGGTATCTTATATTCAAAAAGTAAGAGTCAGAAAGAAAAATACTAAATTATGGAGCTAAGAATATTCCTACACATTCTTTTCCCTAATGACAAATTTTTCTTAACAGCTAAGTCATGTCAAGAAGGTAAAAAAACAAAACAAGCCAGCAGAAATTGAGGCGCTCAGGGAACTCGCATAGCAGAGCGCGGCCAGGAGCCCTGGCTCGGCGCATCGTGGAGCTGCAATTAGGCAGCAGGGTTTGGGAGAGCTTCACAGGCACAACGGAGATCACTCCGCACTCCAGCCTCGCTCCACTCTTCCCCGAGGCAGCTCAGCCAGGAACAGGCAGCAGGGCTAATGGCTTGGCCCTGAGCAGCATTGAGGGGGTGGAAAAGTGTCGCATGCAGCCGTCCATGGGCTGTCATCTGCTCCAGCCCTGTACGCCGGGCAAAAGGGAGCAAGGACAGATGTAACAGGCATAGTCACCCATGGACGGGTCATGCAGTAACCCCTCCAGGAGCTGCACAGGCGGTGGGGACAGCGGTAGCCTCTCGCCTTCAGCAAAGGTCAGCGCAGCCCTCAGGCCTCCTGACAGCACCGATTTAGCCAAGCCAAGAGGAAGCAACAGGAGCCACAAATCGGCTGCACAGAGGCTGCCTCGTCTTTGATGCCGCATTAAGGAGACACTGGCAGAACCCGTTCAGTGCAGAAAATGTGATTCCCATCCTCAGCATGCAACCTCCCTGAAAATGCTACATGAAATTCAGCAGAAATTGACCAAGTCTGAGGTTCGGCTTATACAATGTGTTCATTTTTAGAGAAGGAGTTGAAAATGTTATAAAATCCTCTTCAAAAAAAAATAAAAATAAAAAAGGAAGGTGGGCTCATGAATATTTTCCTTTTGAATGCTTAATTAGGTGCACGCTCTATTGAAAATATTTCTCTGTGAGCAAGCAATCTCAATGCCTAATTGCACTGTACTCTGTTTGCAGTTCATTACTACAGAGTGCATTTCTCGGTACCTGAAACCTTATTAGCATGCCTGCCACCAAAGCTGGAATCCTCCTGCTTGCATCTTTAGACACAAAGACTCCAGTGTGGCTGATCTGCATCTGAAATAACTTAATTTACAGGCAATTTCCAAGTAACTGTGACTGACATATCGGTGGTTATAGCTTTGAGGAAGACACTAAGCTTCTGGGGAAAGTTAAATTTAATGCCCCAGTGACACTTAATTATTAGTCCAATAAAATTAAGGTGGAATATAAAAGAAAATACTGTCAAATATGAATCATATTTTCATGCTTTCATGTTTATTCTGCCTCAGTAGCACTGCTTATTTTACAATTGCATATTAATCTTCAGTACAAAGTGTACTATAGAAAATTGATTTGAAGGACATTTGTTTTTAGAAGTTTAAACCACAGGTTTGAGTAATTGTGGTCTGATTTAGATGGGGAGGCTGAAGGCTACATTGCCAGAAAGCCTAAGCACTGAAAGAGGGACTTGCACAGACTCAGACACTTCGACAACTTGTCGAATCCTCCAAATCCTGTCGATCCCAGAAAACCCCTAGCACCCTGTTGGACTGAGCAGCTTAGCTCCTACATCATGACTGTGCTGGTGAAGGGCCTCAGATGGGCCAGGGCAAGTGGAACATAACAAAAAGCCCTTGAGCACTCAGTAAAAACTGATCTCCTTGCATCTTTTGGAAGAAATGCATTAGACTCCTGTCTGCAACACTGTGGGTCACGAGCAAAAGCAAGTGCATCATTTCTAAAGAAGGACAAGTCAGAGAAATCATGCTCAAAACACACCTCATTCTTCAAATTCCTCACTGTCCTTACACATCATGCAGATATCTAGGTCCCTAAGTCCAATTCCTCTAATGGTGGTTCAGCATTAGGGGCCACAGAGCTCTGCTACATAGCTCTGAAGTTTCCTTCTGAGTCCAGCCCTCACTCCTTCATTTGAGGGGGTGAAGGGATCTCTTTGGTCACTGGCCCCATGCTGTTTTTGGAGCTCTGAATGCTAACAAAAATGCTAACAACTTATGGAAAAGCTGAAAATGTCCCACCAGTGCCTGGACTTGGGTCAATGACAATTTGATCAAGACCCACAGGACCAGTACTTGGTACAGAGCAGTTGTGATCAACAGTTCTCTCACAAAGAGACCAAACACCAAAAACAAAATTAAAATCTGTTTCTGCTTTCAATAATTTACATTCCTTCAATAATTTCATGTTGTGTTTTTGTTTCTCTTCTATTCAGTGTGAAGAGAAATGAAATTTTAATAAATAAAATGAAGAATTCACATGACAGTGCAACAGCCTGAAGGGAAAAAAGCATTTTCAATGCTTCACTGTCAATAACTCATCTTTGCATCAACTTCCTGCTGCATATTAGTCTTGCTAGAGCAGCAGGGTTTTCTTGGGGAAATGTCAGCTGAATCTATCGCCAGGAGCACTAGCAGTGACTGCAAGTATTCAGAGCTCCCTGGGAGGGGAATAGGTATGACATTAACTCACTCAGCTACTGTAGGAGATTCTCACCTGACCATTCCTATCAGTCTCCTATAGTCTTGAGACTTTTAAAACACATTTACTATAATCTACTTTTAACATATAAATTACTTCTTAGGAAGATAAAAAGATATAAAATTAAAGTATTCTCAGGAAGATGCAACCTTCCTTTCATTGGATAGTGAAAATATCAGAGACTGCCCTGGCAGTCCATAAATTTGTCTGACTAGACAGATGTTCTGACTAAAACAGCTGTCTTGGCCTGTCTTTAGAAATATAGAGAGATGCCACATCCATGAACATCACAGCTTGTCCCAAAGCCCCTTGCCAGCTGCACTTTACTCTGGGGCAGACCTGTGGCTCAGAGAACAGCAGGAAAGACCATTTCTCCAGCCCTGTTGCAACGGGCCCCCTCACCAGCAGAAGAAAGTTTTATCATGTTTGATACTCCACCCAAGCCGAGAGAGCCAAGCCCTGAATTATCATATAGATAGAAAATGAAAGCTTTTTTTTTTTCTTCTTTTTTTTTCCTGGGAAATAACCTACCTGCCTTTAAGAAAAAGATTTTCAAGTTAACTGTACTTACTAGGAATGTAAGGAGGGTTATTGATCTCATTATCAGCACATCCGGGATACTGGCCTCTTTCAAAATTGGATGGTTCATTCATATCCTTTAATAAAGAATTAGAAACATGTCAAAAGCTGAATTTTCTGTTTTTTTAAAAGAAGGGAAGGCAAGTATACTTAAACATACAATCCAGATCCCATCGTAGTCAAGGACATCCTTCAGCTCCAAACACAACTGAGTCCACCACTCAACTGTCCTGGGGTTAGTGTAGTCAGGAAACACAGAATATCCATCAGGCCAAGCCTAGAGTTTAAGGGTATAAACATCTAATTACCTTCTCATTTCTATTATACAATGTGTTCAGCACTTGAAACAACACTGATGTAAATTTTTAAGTGAATTTAATACACCAACCTTTCCAACAGCAGGAGTTACACCATCGGAATTATTCACCCAAACTCCCATTTCTTCTCCAAGATCATAAGGCCTGTAAGTACCTGGTTCTTCATCCTTACTTATGAAAGGATCCTGAAAACAGTGATCATATTTCCATTATCAAAATATCAAGGGAAACAGCTGTTTTTCTGTTTGCCTATTTGAGAACAATTTGGATGATGCTTTTAATGTAGATTGTAATAGTACTGGAAAAAAAACAGCATTAAAATTTAATAAGAGTTGATTGTACACTATAATATAGGAAAAGTCATTAAAGATGCGTTGTGAGTATTTCTTGGAAAAGGCAAATTTAAGTGAAATTATTAAAAAGTCTCATGTTCATTTTTATGAGGTTTTTCTACATTGAACTGATTTTAAAGAAGCAGTAGATTTCATTCTCTCTCTTCCAAAGTTATCCCTTGGCAGAAGGACTGGCCAGGCCTGTGCATCCCACACTTCTCTGGGTCTGAATTTCTTTCAGAAGTAGCTTCATTTCAACCTCCTCAGTTTAACCAGCTAGATTTTGCAGTATCGGAAACATCTCCAAGAGCTTTAAGGTGCGACATGGATATGCCAGCTTCATTTCAACCTCCTCAGTTTAACATCTCCAAGAGCTTGAAGGCGGGACATGGATATGCTCCTGGACAGCAACCACCTGCCATTGCTCCTTCCAGCTTCCTAGTACTGCAACCATCATCCACCCAGGATGCCCATGGGCTTGCTCAATGGGAGTGTCCTGGGCTCTCGGGGAAGGTGGTGGCCTACGATGCCATAAACAATGAATGGGAATGCCTAGAGGTGCCAGGAAAGAAGAGAGGATATTCAGCTGTGCTCAGCATCCGACTGAGAGCAAAAGCACGCGCTGTGGTATGTCCCCAAGTGACAGCAGCTCCATGTTATTTAGAACATGGAAGATTGTAACCACTTCAGATGAAGCGATTTCTTTACTTTGCTTTTATAAAATGCAATTCCCTCAGGTTTTGCTTAAGGCAGAAAAGCTTTCAGTTATGAAGCACAGGAGAGAAAAAACCACTGACACAATTCTTTAATTCACTCAGAGCTTGTATAATAATTTAAGAGAATTTCAATTAAGAGGTAATATAAATTTAATCACTAAACTTTTAAGAACAAAAAATATCAGGCCCAAAGATAATCTTTAAGGGCTCTCACTAAAGCCCATTTTAATACTTAAAGTAATTACCTGGTTTACTTATAAACCCTCTGAAAACACCAGAGCAACAGCTCTGGCAAGGCAAGTGTATTATTCCATGCATAAAAAAGTCCTTGCTAAATCCCTACCTTAAATACAAAAATCAGTTCAGCTATAACCATGTAGCTGCAATATCCCCTCTGTAATTAAGGAGTAGAATGTCCATTACCTGTTTAACTTGTTGAATAGTTCAACTTAGAAAAAGAGAAAACTGTCCACCTGCAATAATTATCTTATAATCGTGGAAAAGATGGTTCTCAAGGGACATGAAGACTGGAAGAAGTCAACGTAATTAGCTGCTACTAATCTAAACTTCTGGTTTCCTTCAGCTGAAAGGTTATTCTGATACCTAAATCTAATACATTATGCAGTGTTAGCATCACCCTAAAGAGAACAAAACCCTTCCAGTCCTAGTTTTGCATCCCCTTGTTGTCTGTGGAAGATTCTCTGTGAACTCTTTCCTCAATCACGTTGAGCAGCTGTTGGAGAGGCGGTGCTGAGCGTCCTTACCTCCAGCTGACTGCCCTGAAAGTGAGAGCACCCAGATGGTCTCCAAATCAGCCCACTTCCACCCAAAGAGTTCTTGGTACACATACGTAAAAATCTTTCTCTGGAGTTTTAGCCTCTGCAACTCACAGAGCTGGAGTGCAAAATGTTAAAGTTATTAAGCATTATTTTGAATCATGAGCATGTTACTACTGAATTTTCTTAAGTAATTTGTCACTCATTTCATTCCTAGCTGTTTCTAATTTTAGTGTGATTAAATGGAAGGTATACAAGTTCTTTCATTAAAGCTCCTTTTCAGCAACAATGTTTATCGCTTTACATTGTAGTCATTGTCACTTTTAGAACTTCTTTCTTTGTTTCTAAACAAAGCATTTATTCTGAGTCAGAGTCTAAGTCACAGTGGAAGCATGAACAGGATTTAGCAGAATGATGATGACTGAGTGCTGATATCATCAGATGAAATTTCCTTTAAATGGAGGTGGTTTCTGGAGGAGGTAAGGAGAGAGGAGTGTTGAGGGACAATGTTTGGGGACTGTGGCAGAGGCCACAGGCATGGAGGTGTCTCCGCACCTGATGAGGGTGCAGGGACTAGGCTCCTTGGTGTCCACTCCTGGTGTCCCACCAGCAACCCTAGCAGTGGTGCCACAGCTGAGGGCAGGGTCCCAGCTTGGCAGATCACCATCTCCTTGTGTCAATATTGCTGCTTCTGGGGATCAACATTTTGCTTCTGGTCATAGTGGTCTGACATGCTGTGGCACACCAAGCAGAGGACTGAATCTGTCTCCCTCAAATCTGCTTACAAGAAGATTTATATGGTGTTGAGTGACTGAAATTAGACAACATTTCCTGAAATCATCATGAGGGAGAAAACAATCTGATGCACTTGGAGAGTGCACTCATTATTATCCCTACCCAAAAGGAAGGAATCTAAATGGATTTTTTTTTCTTTTTTTTTTTGTTATCAAACAGAATCATGCTTGCCTTGATTGCAGTTAGCACGGCTTTGCTCTAACTTTGTAATGAAACTCTCCATACAGTGTTCCAGCTCCTGAATTAATTTATGGGAACGATTTGCATCCTTAAAGAAGGCTAACAATTAAAATTTGAGAGAAATATCACTAATTTAAATAAAACAAGCATGAAAATTTCACTGTCTATCCTTCCCATTAGCTTGTCAGAAACATAGGACAAACTTGATCAACTTTTGTTCTCTTTTAAAACTTATCCAAAATGCTAGAGCTGAACGCAGTGCTTAGTTACAGGTTAGTAATATGGAGAAAAAAAGGAGATTCCTACAAGCTTATTATATGAATGAAGAACTGTTAATTCCTTGTATTTGCCTAAGTATTAGATTTAGATTTATAATAACAACAAATCCTTGCACTGCTATAGCATGCTGCCTGTGAGAACCTGGGAATGCTTTAAAAATATTGTTGGAGTTAAACTCACCATGTATCTCAAATAAACATATGCAATAATATTTCACTCTTCTCACACCTTTTCACTAAGAAAATTGAGACTCAGAAAGGGATTATGTCAAATAGCTTAGGAACACAAATTTTTTGTTGTTATAACCTAACTAACCATAGCATTGGTTAGAAAGCAAAATGTTGAAAATATGTCTGAGGCCTGACAGGGCATAATATTGCAAAGGATAAAGCTCAGATGTCCTGACTTAGTGATGCTGTCACCAAAAGGACTACTGCCCTTCTTCAGGTATCTATCTTATGAATGTCAATTGGCAGTGTCCAAATGTGCTGAAAAAGAGGTGACTATCATGCAGTTATTGATGAACAAGCATGCACACAAAAAGAGCTACAGTGAACTCACAGTATTTTACTCTTATATTCATGACTTTCAAGTCTTTTTTTTAAGGTGTAAGCAAGCAGGTGATTTTTGACACTAGCACTCTCCAGCAGATTAGAACAGTTTTGAGAGGTATTCAGTATGCAGGGAGCCCAAATTGCATAATACTTGGAAATGCTCAGTCCTGACTGTGCATGTGCTCATCTATAGCATGCTTAGCTGTTTACAGTGATGTATGGTCATACTTTTGGACTATTTTTTTTTGTTTTGAAGTTGCTCTCCATCAGCATGACCTAGTAATCTGTCACTGTTCAGACACCTTCCTGGGAGCGCCACTGCTGGATACTGTTTTCACTGCTCACCCTGGAATAATTCATGATTCACAGAGGCAAAAGTAGTGGGTCTTTCATGGGAACATACCTTAGGGAACGAATTGCTGGAAAACAGTGTTCATTATATAGGCTGCTATTTCCATTAGCAATGCATAATTGATTGCTTGGGCTATATGGGTTTGTTTGAAAACAGTGAATGCAGTTATAGTGCAATAAGGTAAAGGAGAGGCTATTAATAAACACAGAGCAGGTACACTTAATTAAACTACAAAAAAAAAAAAAGAAAAAAAAGAAAAATATAAAGCATCCTACCCAACTGATAAAAAGCAAATCTAATAATGTTATTTAGAGAAGAAAACTAATAGTATCCACAGTCTGACTAACACAACCTTAGTAATATGTAAAAGTTTGCAAGAAATTTTAGAAAAAAAAATAAGGACAAGGAAATAATTCTATCTATTTGACAAAATTAAGTGATTTTTAGATAAGGAAACTTGCACAGCAATTGGTTGTCTTGACTTCCGTAAACAAATGTAAAGCAAATGTTCTGTAAACGTTTCCTACAATGCCACTTGTGCAAGTGGAACCCTCCCACAATATAGGACTATGCTATTCAGTCTCTCTTTCTACAAGACTTCATAGATACCCCATTGCCAAGGTGAGAAACACGACCCTTATTTCAAATGGAATGAATCACTAAGAGATCAAACTTTAGGGGGTTTATCTAGTTCTCAGTTTAGCTGGATTAATTGGTTGCATTATGAGTAAGAGCCACCAGTATTATGCAGAAAAATGCAATGCAGGGTTTTGTCATACAGCGCATTTCTAGTAGCATGAAAAAAATATTACTCCCATTCTCCAAATGTCTCTCACTGAGGTGACACTGTGTAGAGTGCTGTGAAATCCAGTTATCTATATACAAAAAAATGAATTTAAATTGGGGCACACGTGGAGAACAGTTCTCATTACAAGGAAAACTGAAGATCTTACCTGAGAAAAAGAGATTAAACTGCTTCAGTTTGTTTAGATTAGCAAAATAAAGACTAGGTGAGAATATGCTTATTCAAATAAATATATCAAGAAAGAAAATAGCAGGGCTAGAGACTGGCAATTTCAGTTAAATTAGAAGAGTAGCACCCAAATGAGAGGTGTAAGCTGACCATTTGGGCTGGAAAAGACTGGAATAATAATGGAAAGCCCTGGAAGGGAGTGCAGGAGGTCATGTCCTCCTCCTTCCCTAGGCAGGTTAGCTCAGCCTGAACGGTCCAAGATGCATATGTGTGTGAGATTTGTTTGCCAAACCCTCCCAAATTGAGATCCCCAGCCTTCCCAGAAAGTCTGCTCCATGCTTCACTATCTTTGCAGAGAGACAGCTTTATCCTAGTCCCTGCCTTGATTTTTTTTTTCTTGCAATTTGAAACATATTGCTTTTTATCCTATCGCTAGTGGTTATGGAGAACAAATTATGCCTCTCCCCTCTTTAGCAACATTTAGCATCTGCGTACACTGCTCTAGGTCTCAGTACTGTTGGATATTCCTACATAAGAAATGGAAGGTCATGGTATTGCCATGGTTTAAGCAGAGGATACCATCTTTCTGGTACTGTGCTGCTGTTGAGCTGCGTAGAGCAATTTCTTATGCATCTATCAAGGACTTTTATTTAATTTACTGGCTTCCAATTTCCTTGCTGACAATTACATTCACTGTAGTTATTGTGACAAAAACTAATTTCAGTGCAAGGATACGTATGGGGACTTGCTAGAGAGAAACAGTAATCTTTGTTGGAAAAACTGGCAAAGGAAGAAGGAAAGCTATTTTCACCCTTGCCCAAATTAATAGAATTGGTCAACATCAATTTTGGTTACAGGTTCAGCATACATTTTCCATAAATTTTCATGCAAATTTCCTTTGCAGTAATATAGATGAAAAGTAAATATAAGGCCAAATGAATTATAGTAACTAGCTCTCCAAAGTGATTATGAGTAATTTCTTCACTGCTCAGCTATTTCTATGTGCATATTAAAATCATTTGTTTATTTTCATAAGAAGAACTGCATTAAAAAGTTCTGGCTCAGCCCAGCCCGGAATAGAGACAATTTTTTCACAGTGTTTTACTGAACAGAGTAAAAAAAAAAAAAAAAGAAAAAGAAAATAAATGTAATGGTATAGAGGTGATACTGCACAAGTATCTCATAAATGCAATACATTTACATGAGAAGCCTGTGAGATGTTGTTGTTCATCTTCTAGACAAATGACAAAAGTGGAAAACCCATTACAATAGCATGCATGTTTTAGCACCCAGCTACTGCTATGAACACCATGATATAAAGAGTTCCTATGAATGGAGAAATAATTAGCAACATTGTTATTTTACCAGAATCACGACATAGTGCATTCCTTCTTCCTTCAGCTGCTTAATGTACTCTGGCAGACCGGCATAATTTTCTTTGTCATAGGTGAAGTCCAGACGACGTTCCATGTAATCAATGTCAGCATGCTGAACATCCTAAATATTTTTGAAGTAAACATTTAAGTATTTTATACAGTGAATCAGACTCCGTGTATTTAGTTTATAAAAGGTAACTAATCTATGAAATGCTGCCTAAAAAAAATAACTATAATAGTGGTAAGCAATTATAGTGCCAAATTCAGCTCCTACAAACGCATATGGCAACAATGAAGAAAATGGAAATGTACAAGCCCTAGTATAGTAACTGTTTGGTATTGATAGGTATTAGAAATGTCATAATTCATGTTTAAAATATCAGCATCTCATACTACCCTTTGCCAACTCATTGCCATCACAGCACAACAGTAAATCCATATCAAAATCACATGCTTTGGAATCAAGAGCAACACTTAAACCTCAGGTCTAAAGCCCTCTTTAAACATTCTTTTAAGGATTATAAACATATTACGTGCAAAACCATTACATAAGATTATGAAAATATCCTTTTATTCTACAATTCTCTTCAAGGGATAATCACTTATCCTCTATTATGATTCTATTCATCTCACTTTGGATCTTCAAATTACAGTGAAAAATTCATACTTACAAAGGGGATATCATAGTAATGCATGCGATCAACTGTTTCCTTTAAAACATCAATGCTTCCATAATCCCATCGGGAGAGGTGAAATCCCAGAGAC